TAAAGGATATAAGCATTTGCCGTTGATCAATCCCTTTTGGGATGCGGCACGCATTCTACTTCCATTTGTACATTCGTAGTGGCGTTTGAATGCGATGTGGCCTATACAATGACTTGCGGGGGCCAGCCGATGTTCAAGTCAGTGTTTTTATCCTCCCAGACAAGTCTGGTACCAATTAACCGACCGGAGGGATGGAAGGCTTGGTTGGCCCGGGCGACTCACGACCCAGGATTTGATCCCGGACCGCTCGCGTGGTAAGCGCGCCACTTGTCACTACACCACTTCCCCCCAACTGAGATAGTAATGAGAAGTAATTGTAGAAACCGATTTGAAAGGTAGAGGATTTCAGCGCTTCATTCAGTTTGTTTTGAGGGACTCGATACGAGAACAATTTTCAGATAACAGCCAGGAAGCGGAAGTCTAAAAAGGATGGGGACAGCGATGATAGCAGTGATAAGAATCGAGGTGAGTGAATACAGCGAAAATATGAGATGAGTAGAAAAGTCAGAATGTGTTTGAGTAGAGACCTTTGCTTCATCTTATTGATGGTCAGAAACGTTTTTGTAACTAATCAGTCACTTCGTTTTCTAGTCGGCGCGGGTTTGCTTTTTTGTACAGATCCGTACATGAATTTAAAGCAGCAACAGTTCCAGCAGGGTGGGCGTGGTCGGAAACGGCTGCAATCCCTCGGCCGATTCCCACTTCGGAGCTGTTCAGCCCCTAGTCAAGAACGTAGGAAGTGTGACTGAACAAAAACTCACCTTGGAAAGCCGCTAGGGAGGGAGCTGAAGTGGGCGTGGTCGGAATCGGCCGAGGGGATTGCAGTCGTTTCCGACCACGCCCACCCTGCTGGGATGTTTGTATGCGTTAAACATTTGCAGGAGTCACGCCCTGTTATTGCCAATTAACTTATCAGACGTGCTAAGGCGGCCACAGGACCACCCATGTAAGGAAGGCAATGGACTTCGAAGCGCAAGGCAAGCGACCGCGAGGTGCCCCAAAGAAGAGGTGGAAGGACGTAATCAAGAAGGACCTAAGTGAAATCACGGCCACAGCAGAAGATGCCCTAGACAGAGCGAAGTGGCGACGACTGATAAAGACAGCGGACCCTGCGACTGCGCGGGACTAACGCTAGGGAGAAGAAGAAGAAGAAGAAAGAGGTCGTATCTTCATCAACAACGCACGAAAGCGGAATAAAGGCGTGGTTGCTTTGGGAGAAAACCCATCCACAAGAGCTTCCCAACTATTGTAAAGGTGTCACTAGGTTGTGGTTGTAACAAGGAGTGTACCACTGTGCGTGACCACTGGTGATAAAAGTGCGAAACTTCAAGAACGGCGTAAAATAAGCATGAGAAAGTAGGATTTGTGAAAGACCAAGCCTCATTCAAACTATCCGAATTGCCTTCGCAACATTCGAGTAACCATTGCCATAGTATAAGAAGGCCTCTCAGTTCTTCGATGAGTTCCGCTTCTACTTGGTTTAGGCAGTTACTTCTCAGACTGTAGTAGATACATACGATGGATGCTCCAATGCCCTTCTTGTCCGCTGTCGGCTAGTATACTACATTTATATTTCAGGGATTGGAAGAGATCTTCAGTTGTTAAGTTCTCTGACGACGCGTTTACTTTTGGATGGAACAATGAGCACTAATACAGCCTGGGCTTTAGAGTCTAACATCGAAAGTGACCTAGCTATCAATGAGAGAAAGCTCAACAACACAGTCGAAATGCTCAAGCTTAGTATTTCCGATCGAAATATCGTTCATCTCATTGCAGCAAAATCGCGTCGTCGTTCATCGAAGAAGCATTCGGGCCTTTATCTCAGTCGTCCAAACTCGGATGATGAAGAAGAAGGTGATCATTCGAAGCAGCGTTTCGAAACCTTCAAAGATCGCGACACTGCTCGAATCGGGGTGAGGAAAATCATTAATTGAGAAGCTAGTGAATATTTTCTTGCGTCTGCTTTGGAAGGATGCTTTTGTTAGGGCTGTATATCAATTATGAGTGGTTTTGAGCTATTTTGAATTACAAAAAAATTCTCAAATCAAAAGGTGTTATTATTCTACTCTAATTTGAAATTGAAGGTGCGAAGTGGAAGCCAGTGGAGAAAAAAGGGGAAAAAATAAGAAAGAACGCAGACAAGTTTTTTTTTCACGGGATGGTCAGTACTGCAACGGAGGGACACTAGATGGCGAATAGATGTAATAGATGTGAGACATAGCGACGTCAAAGACGCAGACAGCACGGCTGGCGTAGATAGAATTGTCGTATTTTGCGAATACCAACTGAAGCTTCAAACAGTATAGCGAACGCTCTGGGTTCTATGTCGTGCAGCATAAAGCACGTGAACGTTGAAAATGGACAATTCCTGCAGTCGTTAGGCATTTCTATCTCGCTTAGGGAAGGATTGAATTAAACTGATTTCATATCATGGATGGCTTTGGAACTTTTACGAAGTAGATTCGTTTAGCAACGCTCAATCTCATGGCGGCGGAAACTTCGTGAATTCTACTCAGCGCCGATTACAAACATTTTGGCTATGGTCCATGAGCTTCTATGTATTTCTTATTTCTCTCTCGGTACACGATTTTGATCAAAACGCCGAGGTAAACTCTGAAATTTAATGGATGTGTTGGTTATTCTATGAAATTGAATACTTCTCTTGTCTCAATTCCACCGTTTAGATATCCGTCATGGGTAGAGTGGTATCTGCTTTCCTATGTAGTTGTGTTGGCCTCTGGGAACTGTGCGAAGTAGTCATGCATTCAGTACACTATCATTTTGGGTCTCATCCAGTAAGGGGGGGCATAGCGATCTAGAGCATTTCAAACCATGGAAAGCACATTATTTTATTGTAGACGTTCAGGACTAAGCCTTAGAAGGGAAGGAGCCCCCGGGTCCGTGAGCAATCTTGGTTTTCCCCGGGGACTTCCTCCCCCTCCTAGGCTTAGTCCTGACCTGCTGAACTAGGTGAATTTTACTTTCGTAGACGTTAATGTCATCTAGTACAAGAATACATACATTACACAAAACACCTGAAGAAATAACATAGGAAAAAGTGAATCAGTTAGCACGGTAACTTTGAAAGGATCGGCTGCACCCGCACGCCCTATACGGATGAGACCTTATTTTTGATGTTCTTTTCATGGATTCTTACGTTATCTTGCTCAAAAGCCAGATTTGTAGAAAAACATGAAAAGAATTGGGAAGCGGTGAAACAGGCTAGCGTGACCAACTGGGCGAGTGAGTGAGAGCATAGCGACGAGAGAGACGCAGACAGCGTGCTTAGTAATATGCGTGCGTTGCGTATAACAACTGCAGTCGGGTTACATTGTGCAAGCGATGGATTAGGCTGCTTTCATAGTTCGCATCGGTGCGGTCGGTGCCGACGGCGCCGACGGCGCCGACCGCACCGACAGTGTGAAGAGCGTCAACACGCGCTCTGGCGCATGACGCGTGCGCTGGGCGCAGATGGGGCGCTCCGGTCGATAATCTTGGTTTTGGTGTATTTCTTCGATGTTTTTTGCACTCACTTCATATGAATAAACAAAATTGCTTACGACCAACACACCCGGTATGGCCACATCCACCCGGAGTTGTGCGACGGGTTCACGACGTCGCTCGCCCGCGGAACAACTGGAAAGTATTAATCAAGACATAAAAGGGCGCAATGTGGCTCGGAGGGGGGGGGCAGCCGCCGCGCGGGGCGTTGCGGCAACAGGAAATTCGCAAGCCAGGGGGAGTGTAGCCAATTCAGGGGGGGGGGGTGAGGGCAGTCACTTAGCATGCGTGAGAAGCTGAAATGTCCCGTGAAAAGCTGGAATGTTCGAGTTACACTACATCGCTGAGCCGCGCACCGACTTCCCCCCCCAGCCACATTGCGCCCATAAAAGAATAAGTATGAACAGGAAACACACGAATTAAAGCAACACGGCGCGAAAAAACATCGAAAAGCACAAGAAATACACCAAAACCAGGATTATCGATCGGAGCGCGCGATCTGCGCCCAACGTACGCGTCATGCGCCAGAGCGCGTATTGACGCTCTTCACACTGTCGGTGCGGTCGGCGCCGTCGGCGCCGTCGGCACCGACCGCACCGATGCGAACTATGAAAGCAGCCTTAAGCTTTGCTTTCGACGCTTCAATGCAGATAGCTAGAGTCGAGTCAGGGATGAACAGGGTAATAAAAAACCCCGTGTGTGATGCGTTCGAAGAATGGATCAGGTAACTACTAGAAGTGAATACTGCTGCCGTGCAACACACGATCGTTTTCGCACTAGTGCACAGAGGAGCAGAAGAATAAAGTTTTCATGCAAGGCAGAAGCTGAGGAAAAGCTCACTTGCTTCGTCCCTTCCTCCACCTCCCAAAGCTACTAATGAGGAGTGAGTAGTACGTGTGGAAATGACGAATGGAGAAGACCAGAACGAAGAATAATAGAGAGTTAGAGAGTATTTGAATATGTCATCCGCGAAATGACCCACTCTCTGATGTTCGTTACGCATTGCAATCTGAGTGCCATAGCACCCTTCTATCTTTAAATTCTGATTTTGTCGGAGAGAGAAGGGGTAGATAAATTCCTTTTTTCTCAGCTTCTGCCTAGCACGAAAACTGGTATTCTCCTTTGTCGAGTGCGCTTCGCTTACTTTAATGACGGTATATTTTTTACCTGAAATGTTCAAGGCTCCTCTACCCTCCAAGGTAAAAGGAGCCTGGGCAGCAAAACTGTTCTGTGGCAGAGAATAGCAAATCTCGGTTTATGGGGTCAGGACTACCGCGACTGAGCACAGGTTGTTGGTTAGCTATCAAATTTACACCTGATCGGAGTGTGCTGCTCCATTTTTCGTGGTCTGAATCCCTCTTCATTTGGTCGCTTCCATCGTTTTGCAGTGTTTTTACGCTAGAATGAAAAATGATCGTTTAATGAAACGCAAAGTTCTCAACAAGAAAGGACGACTTGATAAATCAAACGTCTGTATAGTTTTAGTGATTGTCCAGGGTATGGCGCATACCGCGGGAGTGTCTTACATTAACAATTTTGCCCCTTTTCAGCTCTATAGCCGTCTAATCCCAGGTTTCTTTCAGTTGGTAATGATAGTGATGATCGATCGAAAGCAACAGATGTGGCGGAAAGTTTTACTGTACTTTGGTAATTACCGCAACGGTGTCCTGCTTTTTGCCACAGTAACCTATGTGAATCGCATTTTGCATTCGGTCCAATCCTTCATCCAGGTAATTTCCACTTACGGCATCATTTGAGAATGTAAACTATCGTAATGCGCTTTATTATGTCGAATTTCAGAATGGCTGGTCGAGTACTCTTGGTGTGTAACTTCAGTTTTGTGGTCATTGAAGTTACTGGATTACATGCGGGTATTCCGCCAACTCGGACCATACATAACCATGGCGGCAGAGATGGTTAGTCACGTGTTTAATTTCCGACGATGATGCAGTGGTACTGGTGCTGATTGTAATTCCTGCAGAACACCAACGGATCTTGGGCACAGTCTCTCTTAGAACAAGGTGTCCATCCTTCCCGGCTCATCATTAACTGTTATCGTAATGTCAGGGTATAGGTGTTGGCATGTGAACCATTAGTGAACCTTACTCGAAGCATTCTATTGCTACTATACGCTTTTGAATGCAGTAACGATTCTGCAGGGGCGGGTAGTGTCGCAGTTGACAGTGGCACGTCACCACGCGAGCGGTCCGGGGATCAAATCCTGGGTCGTGAGTCGCCCGGGCCAACCAAGCCTTCCATCCCTCCGGGGTCGGTTAATTGGTACCAGACTTGTCTGGGAGGATAAAAACACTGACTTGTACATCGGCTGGCCCCGCAAGTCATTGTATAGGCCACATCGCATTCAAACGCCACTACGAATGTACAAATGGAAGTAGAATGCGTGCCGCATCCCAAAAAGGGATTGATCAACGGCAAATGCTTTATCCTTTTATCCTTTTATTAACAATTCTGAACGAAAGTGAAGTGTGGTACGTGCTAGATGGTCTCGAACGCGCAATCGCCCAGCTTTTTTAATCCGCATCAGAAGAGCCGCGCTACATTTGGTTGTACCCATCTGCTTAAATACACCGTTCTCGATCAAAAGTAATTTCCGCTGTGAAATCAATTCAAAATCGTTGTTAATCCATTAACCAAATCGTCACCTGACCTCGCTATCTTGTATTCATGATGGTAGCAGGTTTGAGCTCAAACCTTTAAGGGCATGCCAAAGGATCATGTTGATGTGACCCTTGCACACAATGCGAGCGTAATGGTTCGTGCGAAGTGGGCCGGCAGTAAAGAAAAAAGGAAAAGAATCCGTCAAAGGTTAAGGGCTCACTCACCTTCCTAATCGGCTGTGCTAAGGGAATGAGAGACTAAGCGCGGAGAGGAGAGTATGAGGCGAGAGAGCGCTACAGATGAGAGAGCGCCAGACAACAGCCTGATAAGAGAAAAAAGTCTGCAGCTTCAGCAGCTTACTTTGCAAGGCCCGCTCTTGTCGGTTGGTTTCCGTGCACGGAACGCCACATTTGTGATTGTCCTCTAGGGGTCTACGCCTAGACCACAGGAACGTTCACACGACCGTTGTCTGGGTTGTGCCTTCAATTCCGTTTTTCAACATGTCTCAAACTGCTCTTTTCTGGAATGGCCGCCCTGATGGGCTCATTTTACGTAAACCACTCAAACCCTATCCTTTCGCGGTAATTTATCCCTTAAGAGTATAGCACTACGACAAATATGCCAGAAGCACTGGCTACCACATTTTTGAACACCTAGGGCCTTTGTCGATTGAATTGAGTTCGAGTGCGCGGCGCCAGTGGAAGTGGGAAATATCGATGTTTTTTATAGTGTCTCATAATTGTCGAGAGCTGTAAATGGTAAATAAAGTGTCTTTCCTTCAGATTCCTCGAATGCTGCCAATTCTTGCAATGTTGTTCGTTTCGCTGTTGTCGTTCGGCCTCGTTCGTGAAGCGATCACCTATCCTTACGAGAACTGGCACTGGCTACTTCTTCGAAACATTTTCTACAAACCGTACTTCATGTTGTATGGTGAAGTCTACGCACCGGAGATCGACGTCTGTGGAGATGAGAGTGAGTGAACTTTGTGCCCTGGTCTTGGTAGAAGGGTGAATATCGGTCGAGGAATCCTCGACCATGGCTCTGTACTGTGTGAGAATAGTGTCGAGAGTGAATGTCCGCGCGGGAGAGCGTGACTGAACAGGCGAAAATCCTCGACGAGTCGTCGACGAATCCTCGACCGATTTCACCCTGCTCAGGACTTGAAAGTGTTCTCAAGTCCTATATGCAGACATGTATCTACAGTAATGGTCAGAAGTGTTCGCCGAACGCTTTTCGCGCCTTTCATTTCTCCCTTCAGAGAAAGATCTAAAGATTAGTTTGAAGCCTTTCTTCATCTAAACTCTTCAAGAGTCAAGGTTTGAAGGCTTTGAAAGGCATGTCTTACAAATATGCGAAGTCCACTGTCTGAAGGCGAAAAAATAGTGCACGAAACAACGTTTCGGCGAACACTTTTAACCGCAACTGTATGTGTCTTTGGATTAGCTCCAGCATCTGATATGAAATTCTTTTCAGTGTGGGAGGCCCACATTGAAGCAGACGTGCCAATCGGATCGGATACGCTTAATATCACGGGTGAGTTTTTGAAAATTTTTCACTCACTTAGTTCATTTGGAAACATTCTCACAGGAACGAGAAACATTTAGATGAATATAATTGTATTTATAATATAATAATTAATTAAAATGTAATTGTAATTACAATATAATAATAATATAATATAATTACAATTGATTTTGTTCTGATTCTTACGTTTTATTTGTTTCTCCAACTGCAAA